TTTGATGCATCAAACATATTTAAGCGATTGTCCAATTCAAAAAACAATGTGTCGTGATTCAAAAACAAACTATGGTACAACATCATTTGGTTTAGATACTTTTGCATTCCAATGTAAAAACCAAGCATTATTCTGTAATGGTAAAGCTATACCACCAGCTGACTATCCATCATATGCCGAGCCAATTAAAAACGGTGAATGTAATATACAAAACGTTGAATGTACAGGCCCAACTGATAAAATTATGACATTATCACTTAATTGTCAAGGTGGAACAAACTGTACACTAACTAGTTCATCCTCAACTGCAATTCTCAATTGTGTTAGAAATGTTCCACAACAAAACTGTGACTGTCCAATGGATTTTATGGGTACCAATTGTCAAGAATCAACACCTATCATCTGTGATTTAAATTTAATGGATCCAAAGGCAAACTGCTCTGGTGATTTTATCCTATCAAAAACCCATTGCTTCACCTATGGAATGGATGATTCACCAATATTTAGATTTTTATTAGATTGTTACTTTGCCGTAAACAATCCCGAACCAGAAACCAAATTTAAATATTGGATTGATCAACCAAATGTAACTATCATTATTATTAAACCCTACTTTCATCATCTTTATAAATACTAATAATCTTTTATAATATTACTATAGTTCAAAATTTCAAATCCTGTAGAATGGAATTTCAAGAACGAATTTATTAATTTTTATAGATTATTCAATACATCACAATCTATAGATTTTAAACTAAGTAAAGAACAAATGACAGGTAATGAACTCATCCTATTCAAATCACCAAAACTCTCATCTATCGATCCTCAATATTTTATTGCAAAGAGAATTTATGCTGAACTTTCATTAGTCACACCTGCCAATGTAACTATAACAACCTCTCCAACCCTCACCTCAACTTTACAAAGATTTTTTATTTATGTTCCCGAATACCCAGTTCAAATCCACACCTCTGAGTCAATGTCAAAAGCAAAATTAGCTTTAATTATTGTTGGAAGTATTTTAGGTTTTATACTGTAAGTATCAATTAAAATTCACCAAAATTATTACAATTTCAAATAATTAATATAATTTTTTTTTTTTTTCTCCCCTTTTTCCCATACTTTTTTTTTTTTTTTTTTCATTTTATTTAGCCTTGTAGCAGCATTTATATTTTACAGAAATAAATTAAAAATAAATTAAATTCGGTGCACCAATAGAAAAAATAAAAAATAAAAAAAAATAAAAAATAAAAAATAAAAGTTAAATATACAAATTTATAACTACTAATAATTTATAAAAAAAAAAAAAAAAAAAATATGGCAATATTATCAAAAACAACCAATTATAACAATATTATTATATATCTTTTTTTCAAAAAAAAAAAAAATTTTAATTTTAATTTTTTTTTTTTTTTTTTTTTTTACTTTTTTCTTTTTCATTCATAAAATGAAAACACCAATCAGAAAAGATATTTTTTTTAACCAACCAAAAATAAAAAGAAACAAAATAACACCCCAATATCATATCTTAAGATAAATATTATTATTATATAAAATTTTTGAAGTGATGATGATTGGATGTTACTAAATTTATAATTTCAGTTAAATTTCCACTTTGGTGCACGAATTTTTTTAAAAATTACCTATGACCAATAAATTTGGCTCTAAAAAAAAAAAAAATATTCACAACAAAAAAAAAAATTGCTGTGCAAAAAAAAAATAAATGAGTGTTGGATCATTTTGACAATATGGTTATTTGCGACCAGACTATTTTTTGTATTGGAAGAATAATTTTTATTTTTTTATTTTTTTTTCTAATTTTTTTTTTCGAAATTTTTTTTCTTTTTTTTTAAAAAAAGAACACCCGCCTCATTTTAACCGTTAATTTTTTTTTTTAAAATCTATTGTATTATTTTACCTTTCAACTGTTTTCATATGATCGTATTCGTTTTTTGTTAAAAACTTATTTTAATTTTTTTTTTTTTTATTTTTTTTTTTTCAAATTCATAACCTCCAATATATCGCATATATAGATATATTAATATATATAACTATATATATAAATTATATATATATTATATATAATATATAATATATAGTATATTATATTTTTTTTATTTTTTTTTATTGTACATAATATATTTTAAAAAAAATAAATTAAATTTTTATTTTACATATTCCAAAAAAAAATAAAATAAAATAAAATAAAAAAAAAAAATAATATTTTATAACAATATTTATAGTAAATAACAATAATAATTTATTATAAAAAATACTATAGAATCTTATATTCAATAATAATAATTTATTTATTTATTTATTTATTTATTTATTTATTTATTTATTTTTTAATAGCAGATAGCCCTGTTTACCACCACATTATATTTCAAATTTTTATTTTTTGTTTTTTTATTTATTTTTTTTACCCGCCAGCATTAGTTTTATTTGTTGTCTTCACACATTTTAATATTTTTTTCAAAATTAAAAAAATAATTCACCATCCATTGTGCTAAATACTATACTGATTATATATAATAATAATAATAGTAAAAAATAAATATTTATTCCACAATTTGTAAATAAAATTCATCTAAAATTTAAATTCATATAATAACATTAAATATAATAATAATAATAATAATAATAATAATAATAATAATAATAATAATAATAATAATAATAATAATAATAATAAAAATAATAATAATATTACCAAAATTTTTTTTTCCAATATCTATATAAATTTGTAAAAAAAAGAAAATGAACTTCCCAGCATTACCAAAGAAAAGAACACCTGCATTTTCAGATTTTGAAGACTATGACGATTTTGATATCGAGTCGAGTCCACCGGAACAACAACAATCATTCAATACATTATTAATAAACGAATTATCATCCGATGATAATCAATTTGAAATTGAATCATCATCACCAAACGGTAATAATAATAATAATAACAATAATAATAATAACAACAATAATAATAATGCAACTTCAAGTATAAATATAGTAAATAATAGTAATAGTTCAAATGGGTTTTCAAGTAATAGTGTAAATATTCCACATTCATCAACTGGCCATATGAGAAAGGGCAGAAGATTGTTTTTCGATGATCCAGGTTACCCGGGATCAGCATCTCTTTCATCAACAAAATCTCAATTTTTTCCATCTAGTCCAATTTTATATTCTTCATCACCACAAAATCCATTATTTAATAATAATAATAACAATAACAATAACAATAATAACAACAACAACAATAATATATATAGTCCATCAACAATAAAAAATGAGTTTAAAATGCCAATTAAACCAGATATTCCTCCATCGACACCACCTCATAATCAAATACCACCACAAAATATAATAAATAATAGTAATGATCATATGTTTTCATCATCGTTACCAACCTCACCAGTGTCATGGGGCGCCAATAGTATTAATAATAGTAATATTTATAGTACACCAACTCATCAAGCATTTATGAATGGTACAATTAAAGCCCCATCTACCGAGGTTAAAAGAATTAAACCGGATCAAAGAGCTTTCTTAGATTCTATTAGTAGTTCACCAACTCCATCACCACCCCCAACACCTTCATTAAAAAGAAGTAATTTTTCATCACCAAAATTCGAACCATTCCTTTTAAGTAGACTTGAAGAGAAAACAAATAGAAAGAGATCAACTAGTATGTCATCAAACTTTAATTTAAATTCAAGTGGTGGTGTTCCAAATAATAGTAATACAAATAGTCCAACCAATAACGGCAGTGTAAATGTAAACCCATTCACTGAAGAGGGTAGATTACAGTCATCATTAAATTCAAATAATAGCAGTACAAATAAATCAATTTTATCCGATACAAGTAGTGCCAGTGGAGCAGATTACAAGTTTTCATTATATAAACATACTTTTTCAAGAGTTGGATTTAATTGGCGAGGGTAGTTTTGGTTTTGTTTTTAAAGGTAAATATAAATATTATTTTTTTTCTTTTTTATATTGATTGATTGGAAATATTAACATACGGTTCATTTCTTAATATAGTTCGTCATAGAATCGATGGCTGTTTATATGCTATTAAAAAAACCAAAAAGCCATTAAAGGGTCAAAAGGATCGTCAAATTGTTTATAGAGAGGTTTATGGTTTATCAGCTATCAAAGACCATAGCAACATTGTTAGATATTTTAATGCATGGGAGGAAGATAGTCATATTTTTATACAAATGGAGTATTGCAATGGTAGTAATATATATAAATGGGTTGTCGAGAATATAAGACAATCCGAAACAAATCTCTTATTATTAGCAAAGCAGATTTTGACTGGTCTTGTACAAATTCATTCTTTAGGTTTGGTCCATTTAGATATTAAACCAGAAAACATTTATATGGTTTATAAATGCAATCAAAATCGAATTATAAATAATAATATTTTAAAAAATAGTAACAATATATTTAATAATAATAATAGTAACAATTGTAATAATATAAATAGTCAAGAAAATAATATTAATAATAGCGGTAATAATATTAATAATTTCAATAACAATGATAATAATAATAATAATAATAGTAATAATGTAAATTCAGACAACTATTTAATAATAGATGGTAACAAAATCGATTTTAATAGTATTACATTCAAAATTGGTGACCTTGGTTTATTAAACGAAGCTACTGATACAAAGATTTATTCCGAAGGTGACAGTAGATACCTATCAAGAGAGCTACTTCATGATGATATGTCGGCATTGAAAAAGTGTGATATATTTTCATTGGGCTGTACATTATATGAATTGGCAAGATGCAAACCATTACCTAAATCAGGTAATGAATGGGAGTCAATTAGAAATGGCTTTTTAGTCGAAGATCCAAGTTTCTCCAAAGAGTTTTGGCAGTTATTAAAGCTAATGATTCATCCAGATCCAACAGTTAGACCATCCGCAGAGGCGCTTTTAGAGACACCATTGATTAAATATGGATCTCTAATGGATGACTACTTGAAGGAGATTGAAGTTCTTAAATCTCAATTGGCTGAAAAAGAGAGAATCTATCAAAATTATTTATCAGAAAGAGAAAAGAATCTAGAAAAAGTTAGCTACCAAGAGCAATTAGAAAGTCAACATAGATTATATCTTAAAAACCTTGAAATTGAACACGAAAAATTAATTAGACAACAACAAGAAATACAAGAAAACGAAATGAGAGAGTATCATCAACAATTGTTGCTTAAAGAACAAAATAATAATTATAATAACAACGCTAACAATAATAGCAATAATACTATTAGTTTAGATGATATGGATATTAATACTATTGATGAAGAAGAAGAAAAACGATTTAAATTGCAAGTAGAACAATTTAAATTGATAAGGAAACAACAAATACACCAAAATACAACAAATGTACATCAATACCAACAAAAACAACAACAACAACAACAACAACAACAACAACAATACAATCAACCATCATTTGAACAATATTATGATCATCAACAATCGCAACAGCAATCCAATCATACAACACCAATAATTTGTTCAACTACTTTAGAGGGTGGAATAAAAAATATAAAGATTTAAATTTATAGATTTTTTTTAAAAAAAAACTTTATTCTTCTTTTATTTCTTTTTTCTTTTATTTATTTATTTACTTATTTATTAGTATTTTTTTTTTTATTAATTGTATTGATTTTCATAAACTTCTGTTTTTATTTTTGTGGTCCAAAATTGAATTTCATTCTGTATGTAACCTATTTAATAGATAGTGGAAAAATAAAGGGGGTAATAATACAGATGATGTTTATATATACAACATATTATTGTTTTATTTATAATTTAATTTTTATTTTTTTATTTTTATTTATTTTTATTTATATTGTTAAATTTATAATTTCATTCCTTTTGATCTTAATGATTCCTTGGCTTCTTTAATTTCCTATAAAATGGTTAAATGACAAAGTATTAAATATTAGCACAATTATTATTTATTTTTAATATTGTTATTTTTATTAATTAATGTTTTACATACATCATATAAACTATCGGCGGCTTCTTTGCAATCACTCATAATTAAAAGGTTGTATGCAATAACTCCTAATGAATAACTACCAAATACAACAAGTGCGTATAATGGTAACTTTTATATAGGTGAAAATAAAAATTAGTACACACTAATCTAAAGCTGCTGCTGCTTTATTTACATAAAATAGATAAGTTTGAACTTACAAATGGTATAATACTTTGTACAGGTTCAGATAAATTTAATTGAATCTTTTCTATAAGAATTAAAAACCAAACGGCCATTAATGATGCAAATGTAAGGAAAACTTTTTGATATCTTTTCATTTTTCTAGTTGTATATGTTCTTATATATGTATATAGATATATTTTGATTAAATATGATTAAATTCTATTTATAAATATAATTGTGATGTGTGAATTTAAAGAAGTCGAACCCAAATGAAAAAAAATTAAAAAAATTAAAAAAATTAAAAAAAAATAAAATTTTTTTAAAAATTATTTTTTAATTTAAAAAAAAACAAACTTTTTTTAAAATTTTTTTTTTTTTTTAAAAATTATTTTTTAATATACTAAAAAAAAAATCTCAACTTTTTTTTTTTTAATTATTCATATTACACACAGTAAGATATACAGATATATAATAATAAAATGTCAGATCAATTAGTTGCCCCACCACCTGAACATTGTCCAGGTACTCAATCTGAAATGAGTGGAAAATCAGCAGCTTGTGCAGGTTGTCCCAATCAAGTAAGTGGAATATTAAATATATTTTTATTCTTTTTTGATATATTATTCAAGAGTTATATAGTATAGTATGGTTTATTAATTATTTTTATTTTTTTTGTTGATTTTTTTTAGCAAATTTGTGCAGCACCAAAGGGACCAGATCCAGATTTAGTAGAAATTGAAGAAAGAATGAAAAGCGTAAAACATAAAATATTAGTATTATCAGGTAAAGGTGGAGTTGGAAAGAGTACATTTTCATCACAATTAAGTTTTGCATTAGCAATGAATACAGAGGAACAAGTTGGGTTATTGGATATTGATATTTGTGGACCAAGTATTCCAAAGATTATGGGATTGGAAGGCGAGGTAATTCATATTAGTGGTCAAGGATGGGATCCAGTATATGTTGAGGATAATTTAGCAGTAATGTCAGTTGGTTTTCTTTTAGATAAAGAGGAAGATGCAGTAATTTGGAGAGGTCCAAAGAAAAATGGTTTAATTAAGCAATTCTTAAAAGATGTTTATTGGAACGAATTAGATTATTTAGTTGTTGATACCCCACCAGGTACCTCAGATGAACATCTTTCAATTGTACAATATTTAAAAACAAGTAATATAGATGGTGCTGTAATTATTACCTCTCCACAAGATGTTGCTTTAATCGATGTCAGAAAAGAAATTAATTTTTGTAAAAAAGTAGGTGTACCAATTATTGGCGTTGTCGAAAATATGTCTGGTTTTGTTTGTCCAAAATGTAATAAAGAATCTCAAATTTTCATTCCAACTACTGGTGGCGCTGAACAAATGTCAAAAGATATGAACGTACCATTCTTGGGTCGTATTCCAATCGATCCTTTAATTGCTCGTTCTTGTGATGAAGGTAAAAGTTATTTAATTTCTCATCCAGATTCTGAAGCCACAAAACAATATAATATAGTTTTTAATAGTAAGTATAGATATAGGAAAAAAAAGAAAACCACAAATTACTAATATATATTTTTTTTATAAAATATAGAAATTAAAGAAAGTTTAAATAAAAAATAAAGAAATAAATAAATAAAATAAAATACACCTTTTCTTTTTTTTTATAAAATATTTGTTTTTATGTACACATAGGTATAGCTTTATTTGTTTTTTTATAGATATTATTATTTTTTTTTAAAAAATAATTAATAAATATAAAATATAATTAATCGATAAAATAGTTTTTTTTTTATATATATATTCGAACTTTAAAAAAATGATTTAATAATCAATATCGGATATCATTATTTCTAACATTATTTTTGGATTTGGTAAAAACTTTTCTAATAAATATTGGTAGTTTTCTCTGTATAGGTTGGTTAATAATTGAAATTCAAAGTAAAAATCTTTTAAAGAGTAGTTTGAGATTTGAATTAAAGATTTCTTCCATACAGGTCTGATACCAATAGAGGTTCTAGCGATGGCAATGGCGGCACAGGCTAAAGAAGATTTGGAAATTCTTCTAGCATCAAAGCTAAAGTGAGAAATTAACAAAATATTTTCGATTAAATTATAAAAGTGTGATTCGATCGATTTGTAATTTTCGGATCCCTTGTGTGGTTCGAGGGCAACCAATAAAAAGATATCAACAAAATCCCAAGCAGTAATATTTGGAATGTGGTAGTCAAGGGTCTTTAATATTTCACGTTCCATATTTACAAAATCTTTCTTTTGGAATTGGCCATTTAAAGAGAAGTTTAATTCGTTGATGGTTGGACATGTGAATTCTCCGTCGTATTTGCAAGCGATGAATAAGCAGGTGGCACCAATTAATTGAATTTTTTCAAATTTGAATGAATCGCAAACATCATAGTATCTATCAAATATAACAATGGCAAGCTCTAGGGTTTTCGAGTGGATTCTTAATTGGTTGCAGAGCAAGTGTAAATATTTAATGAGTTCTCTTCTATATAAAACAGTGAGTTGGGATTTGTAATCTTTAGAGTTTGGAACAAATTCATATATCATATCCTTTTGTAAGCAGTTCAAGTATACTTGGTAGAGGTTTTCGTCGATTTTAACTGGAACGTCGTGTTGTTTTAAAATTGCATTACTATCGGCACTGTAGCAATATTTGTAATAGTCACATCCATTGATATCAATTGATTTTAATATATTATTAACCATTTTGTTTTGAGCTTTCTTCTTTTTTTCATTTGATAATTGTTTGGTATCCTCGAAAATATTTACCATGTTGAGGGTGATCTTATAGTTTGTATTGTTGCATTCATCGGCCATTAAAGGGGTTTCACTATTTTCTTGGGTTACTGATGCAATGCTGCTACCTTTGGAGTTTGTTAATAAATAGTCGGTATTAAAAATTGGTGATGGGATAATTGAGATTGGTTGACAAATTGAAATGGATTCTCTTAAATATATTTTGGTTCTTTCTTGTATTTCGGCAATACATTCAACTGATTCGATTTCAGTAATTTTTCTTTTTAATGTCATTTTATATTTTTTTTTTTTTTTAAAAATTATCTTTTTTTTTTTTTTTTTTTTTAGTAAAATAAATTAAATTAAATTAATATTTTAAATTTAAATTAATAAATGATCTTTTAAATAAAATGAAAATTGTTTAAATATTTTTTTTTTGAAAATATGCAAAATAAAAAAAAAATAAAAAAATTAATTAAAATAAAAAAGTAACTTACAAGTTAATTAATGATTTTTAATGAAAGTATATAATTAAAATCTTTTTGATTTATTCTTTTTTTTATTATTTTTGTTATTAATATTATTATTATTATTATTTTTAAAAATTATTAAAAAAAATATTTAAAATAAAATTTTTTTTTGAATAATGAAAAGTTTAATGGTAGTTGGTTAAATGTTTTATAAAATCAAAGCTTGATATAGTAATATTTGATAACAAAATTAGTATTTATATTTTTTTTTAAAAAAAAATATTCCCATAAAAAAAAAAAAAAAAAAAAAAAAATTAAATAATATTATTCTTCTGTTATTTTATGTTGGGTGCGCCTATTTTTAATTTAATGTAGTTTATATTATTATTTTAATATGGATATGTTATTATATTGTGAATATTTTTATTTTTAATTTTTTTTTGAATTTATTCTATTAAAAAATACTAATTTATTTTGTGTCTTTTCTTGAATTGTGTTTGTGTGTTTGTGTTCTTTCAATAATCAAAATTTAAAATAAAGATAAATTTATTTACAATAACAAAACAATATTATTATTTTTATTATGAGTGTGTGTTAGTGTTTGTGTTATTATTATAGTTGAAAATCAA